CTGGAGGTACGAGTTGAAGTGGCAGGCCACTGGGGAGGTGAAACAAGGAAAAAGTTGGCCATGGCCAAGCTAGGCCGGCTCTGGGCCACCCTCCAAAGCCATCAGCCTGCAGGGATAAAACGACATGTTGCGATCAGATTCTCAATGATTCTCCACTCGGTCCTTTGGGCGACCTCTCATGCCATCGTCTCAGTCGTCATAGTGTGTCGGCATTGCCTCCCAAGTAGAAAGCTAAACGTGCTTGCTGGCTTCACCTGACAGCATGCACCACCGGGCAAACTGCACAGCACAGCATAAGACATCTCAGAACCTTCCGCAGCATCTCCTCAAGCTCTTTTCCGGATGGCGAGTACGGGGTGGTTCCCTCCCACATGACCTGACAGCAAGGCTTCGCAACAAACTTCCGTTCCACTTGTCGACAGCCTCCGCCGCTAGAAACAAAGGCAAGGGCAGGTGGCGACAGGTGCATGGCAGGCATCAAGACGAAATGCCCAGGCATTGCGGGAACCTGCAAAGGCAAACACCAGCCATCAGATCGTTTAGGAGACGTCGACAGTGGTTTCAGTCAGTTTGAGACCGTACAGTAGCAGTCTCGTCTTGGGGCCGGCGCCACACCGCCCTCCATCATGTACCCCTGCGTGGCATCAGGCCTTGGCATACCTGGTGTGTGCATGTGTATTAAGTTGTATTTATCTGCATGAGATTTGGATTGGTGAAGGAATCGCGTCAAGCCAGGGATGGGACCGGCCATAGCTGGCATGGCAATCATGTCGAATCCAGTCCTTCAGCAGCCCGGCGCATCGGGGATTTGGGAGCAAAAGATTAATGAAGCTGCAAGGACCGAACAAATAGGATGAGCAAAACTAACCCAATACCGACGCGGCAGAGCCAGCGAAAACTTAAGGCAAAAAACTACGCGTGGTCAAAAAATAATTCAACTGGATCCGTCATGGTAGTAATAGTAGAAGAAGAAGTGGCACCAGTGGTGCTACTACTACTAGTACGAGTCCCCCGGCGCAGCGGGGTCATGATTTGGGAACAAAATATTAATGAAGCTGCAAGGACCAAACAAATAGGATGAGCAAACTAAACCAGTACCTACGCAGCAGAGCCAGCGAGAATGCAAAGGTGACCGGCCAAAAATCCTACGCTTGGTCAAAAAATAACTCAACTGGATCCGTCATGGTAGCAGTAGTAGTAGTAG